GCTAATCTGGTCTATCCTTTAAGGGTCTATCCTTAAAACTCTTTTTTTTATAAACCTTTTTTTTTTTTAATTTCAGGTTAATGTGAGGGTACAACAACTAGGCTACAAAATTTGTATATGTTACGTAGAGTCCCTCTCGTAGTTCTGTCCCACACCCAAAAGGTATGCCAACACCCTTACATTGTGTCCATTAAGTGGGAGCACACCAATCCTCTCTCCTTATCCCCTTTCCTCCCTCCCCATAGCCCCTCCTCCCAAGTGAAATGAACTGAGTTTTTCTCTTATGGGGGGTGGAGAGGTACTCTTGACCTGACCCAAAATTTTACTCAAACAACCCTGGCACTTTACTTTCCGCCCTTAGAGAAAAGGCCACCAGAGGGCAGTATTAATCTATGTTTCTTCAGCAGAAGCCAAAAAGCGTCAGAGCAGGGAGATGGTCTTCAGTCTAGCTAACGCCTCCTCCACACTTCCACAAAGGGGAAGGAGAGGCCATCGCCTTGTCAAGCCCCCAGATATCCCAGGACATAACTCTCAAACACACAGACAGCCTCTGAGAACAGTAGGTAGTGGTGCAATATTTTATCTACATTTTACAGATTAGGACACTGGTGCAGAGATTAAGCTAGAGACCAACTAGTCCCTAACCCCCAATTCCCCATCCTGAACAAATTTCTACCCTGCCAAGTTCATGGGAACCCTGGAAATTAGAAACTATTTGCATTTTGAGTGAAGAAAGTAGAAAGAACCCATGAAGCCAAGCTCTAGCAAAGTTGAATTTGGGGAGAGGTAAGTAAGGTCCATGAGATGTTGTAGCCCCAGCCGGTGCGTCACCAGCCCAGCATCTCCCACCACCCAGGTCCCTGAGACCCTAATGAGGGGTAACATTGCTGGGCATGCACAGCGCCCCCTGCCTGACGTGCAGTCTTAATGTAAAACTCGGAAGGAGTCAGTTCTCATTTTACAGATGAAGAAACTAAGGCTGTGGTCAGAAAAACAGCAGGATTCTTCAGCCCCTGAAAGTCAAGGCCAAAAGTGATGGCGCCTGGTTGATCACAGTCTGGCTGGGGGGTCTGTGTCCATTCACCCTCAGTAGAACTCAGAGCCAGGGTGGGCTCCTGGATGCTGCAACCACTGGGCACTTACTCCAGCAAGAGCAGCAGGGCTCTCCTCCTCTCCTGGGAAAGGCTTCCAAATGGCAACGTTGTCCCAAGTTGTAAGCAAATGGTTGAATGTTGCTTATAGGCGGCTCGGATGCTGGGCCCCCTGCCCAGAGCCACCCTGTCAACACCTGGCCTCAGGTACTCTGGCGTTCATCATCATCCTTCTCTGCAGCTTTAGCCAGACCCTGGCCTCACCGTATGTACACTACATCATTTTTTCCTTCAGAATTCACAGCAGGTATGATTTGTATCCTCCATTTTATTGATAAGTAAATGGAGGTCTTGTAAGATTAAGAAACTAGGCTGAGATTGTACAGCTACCAAATAGGAAAGCAGGGATTTGAACCCAGCTCCATCTACTCCCAAATTCCATGTTCTTAATGTCTTTTGCTTTGTCCCAAAGATGTTTGGAGCCTTTCTCACTGAAGAAGGCTTTCTTCTGGGCTATAGGATGCAAGCGGCAGCCCTAGAGTTTCCAAAGCTGCTCACGTTCCCACCCACCCAATTGGTGTTTTTTATTCATTATGTTTTATTTTTTTTCCTAAAGTTAGGCAGAGTACATTTTCTCAGCCTTGAAATTTCACTTCTAAAAATTTCAAAATGTCTAAAATAATTTTGTCCACACAGTGTCCCTAGGTGATAGAGACTTTCCCTGGGACTGACTAGTGGGGCTTCCAGGCTACAACTCCTAAACCTCACGGGGGTGGGAGAAGCAGGCAGCTCCTGTTGTCCACTCCTATGACTGCAGCCAGTGTTTATGAAAATCTGGACTGGGTGGCGCCTGTGGCTCAAAGGAGTAGGGCACCGGCCCCATATGCTGGAGGTGGCTGGTTCAAACCCAGCCTCAGCCAAAAACCACACACACACACAAAAATCTGGACTGAGGGGTCTCTTGGGGATGCTTTGGACGCTGCTTCCCTGAAGGTTTACCTTTGTGGTCTAGTTCAGGGAGGCTGGGGTACCCAGCACCTGGGCTCTTGATGCCAGAGGCTGTTGATATAGACAGGGCCCCCTAAGACAGGCCAAGCTTTCTATGATCTCCTGGGCAAAAGAAACTGGGAACCACATGCATCTAGGGAGACAGGTAGCATTCCTCAGAGATGCTGCTAAGCAAGGAGACCCCAGAGATGGGCAAAGGGGGCAGAATGCTGTTGAGAAACTGGGTCCTGACCCAGCTCAGCTGTGCGCCGTGGGATTCTGAGCCCTGGCTGCCATCTGCAAATGGCGGGGTCTGGCTGTATTTCTGGTGCCCACTGATTATTCCTCCCTCTGTTCTTTCATTGTAATCCCTGTCACACTTCTGCTGCCTGCCGGCTGCCAAAAGAGATCAATTAACTCTCAGGGTAGCAAGCTCAGGAGTGCTTGCCTGGAGATACCAAGTGTGTATTGACTGTAATGTATAATAACCCCTATTTATTGAGTGAGCCTCTCTGCGCCATGTGAAATGATTTACACTGATTGTGTCCACCACCCCAGTGAGTGCTTACAGCGTGAGTTAAGTGCTGGCATCGTTCCCATTTTCACCTGAGAAAACTGAGGCTGATAAAAGCTTACTCTCCGGTCAAGGTCTGCATGGTTATTCAGCACTGAGGATGGGATTTGCAGCCGACTCCTGATCTCAGAGCCTCTGTTTGCTACATTGGACTATGTTGCCTCTTTCTGGCCTTTTACATTCAACCCCCAAAGCAAGTCACCTGTGAACCTACTGAGCTCTTTTTAAATTATCTAAAATAACAACAAAAATCCAGAAATAATAATTGACAATCTCTAGACTTCATAGAGATGTATGAATATATAGTTACCAAAAGTGATGTCATTTTGTAGCTTGTTTTGCCAATAATATCATGTGAACATAAATATATTTTCTTATCACTGTTATTCTATAACCTCTTTTTCACAGATGCATAACATGGTGTCATTTGAATGGTACACAGATTATTTAGCCAATCACCTAATGGTGTGCACTTAGATTAGTTACAGTGTGTTACAGCCATAAAGGATGCTAGTGAACATCTTTGTAGCCAATTCTTTGCTTAATTCTGTAAGAGGAGCTTTGAGAAATGGAATTGCTGGGCTAACTGTAAGTCTTTGGGTCTGTATTGGGCGACTTCAGTGAGACTGTTGAAAGATAAGGGTCCCACCCTCAGCAAGCCAGGCCTCCGGGTAGAGAAACTCTAAACAAAAAGTTGGCTCTTTGGCTTTGCTGTACAAAGTGTGCTCACCCCAAGTCTCACCTGGGCAATCAGATGCTATCAGTCACTCCATCACTGAGCCCTGTGGGGACAGATGTCTCCTTGGGGCCTGGGAATTATGCCAGCACTTACCTCATCAAACTCATCCTCTGGGCCCTGATGTCCTGGAAATGAAATGCTTTCAGTGGCATTCACATGTGCCACATGTGTCCCCACACAGCTGTGGAGGAGCAGAGAGAGGGCAGAAATCCTTGGGAAACACCCCCAAACACCCATTGGGACAGTCAGTGACTTCCTTCTCTGGCCTCAAAGAAACATGGGGTCAGGAGGAAGCAAGGGGAGGCTGAATGGGGAGAAGGAAGCAGAGGCAGGGGACCAGGGAGCAGAGGGGACCACACGGGGCCAGTTCCTGCTTTCTCTCATTTGCCGGCTCACCAGAATATGTTTAGAGCATGGCTGCCTACCCTGCAGGGAAGGAGACCACCAGCCATTCCCCAGGCTGAGGCCTGACCTGGGACAAGGCAGAGGACGGGCCTGAGAGGGGCACACTGGCCACGCGGAAGGGAGATGCCAGCAGGGGCTGCAGCTCCCGCTTCTGGAGCCTGGCACAAGGGAGCGATGGCAGGAGGGCAGTGGCAGTCAGAGCTGTCCTTGTGGCTTTGCTCCCTCCTTGCCAGGAACCTCTGCAGGTGGGATCTCCACAAGCTGAAACTTGAAAGGACTATGGGTCAGACAAGGAGCTGGGAGCCTGCTGTGCCCCTGCAGCTAGAAAGAAACTCAGTCACTCAGTCTCTCTCTCACTTTACCCCAGCCCAGCTCCCATTCTCTCCTGTCTGTTGCTCTGCTTTGCCCACCTGCTGTGTGTGTGCCTGTGGATGTGCGTGTGGATGTGCGTGCACATGCGTGAGGCGGGGGGAGTCTGGGACGGGCTGCACCTCCGACACCATGCCAGGGCCATGCTCCTCTCTCTCTTCGGAGACCTGCTTCTCTCCTGGCAGCTCCAGAAAGTGTATCCTCACCTTAGAGAACCCAGAAATGGGGCTTCTGATAAAGTGCTCATCCAGCCCGGTGGGGGCAGTTGATCAGAGAACAAGGATTGGGTGGGGAAGAAGAGGGAGATGGGGTGGGAAGGGAGGGAGGCCCAGGGCACATGAAAAGCAGAGAGACAGAGAGTCCAAGAGAAAAAGGCAAGAAGCCAGGAGAGACAGATGATGAGGAAGGGAGGGAGGGAGGGAGAAGGGGAAAGAGCTCGGAGACTAGAAACACAGGCAGGGGAGGAGTGAGAAGGGAGAAACTGTGAGGGCAAAAGGGAAAGAGAAAAACCTGAGATAGAATGAAGGAAGAAGGGGAAAGTGAAGATGTTGAGAAAAATGGTGAAGAGAAAGTGGAGAGAGAGAGAAGGGATAGAGAGGGGAGAGTGGGGAAGAGGGGTGCCCGTGTCACATTCCGTATTGGCTCTAGTAATCCAGGGCTGGCAAGTCCTTAATGGGGACCTGGGCCACCTAGTAAAGTGCCCTCCCCTGGGATGGTGGCTGAGGGAGGGCGGGCTCTGGGCCGCTGTGCAGGCAGGTGGCCGCCCCTGGGTGGGGCCACCAGCCAAGCCCTCGGGGTATAAGTGGGAGGCCGGGCCTGGTGAGCACCTGTCAGGGGCAGCTCCCACAGCAGGTGCCAGGCAGGTGGCTGCAGTGGCCCAGTCCCAGCATGAGCTCCTTCGACCTGCCGGCGCCCTCCCCGCCTCGCTGCAGCCCCCAGTTCCCCAGCATCGGCCAGGAGCCCCCAGAGATGAACCTTTACTATGAGAACTTCTTCCACCCACAGGGCGTGCCCAGCCCCCAGCGGCCCCCCTCCTTCGAGGGGGGTGGCGAGTATGGGGCCACCCCCAACCCCTACCTCTGGCTCAATGGGCCCACCATGACCCCAGCGCCCTACCTGCCGAGCGCCAACGCCAGCCCCTTCCTACCGCAGGCCTACGGGGTACAGAGGCCGCTGCTGCCCAGTGTGCCAGGGCTGGGGGGCAGCGAGCTGGGCTGGCTGCCCCTCCCCTCGCAGGAGGAGCTGATGAAGCTGGTGCGGCCCCCCTACTCCTACTCGGCCCTCATCGCCATGGCCATCCACGGGGCGCCCGACAAGCGCCTCACCCTCAGCCAGATCTACCAGTATGTGGCTGACAATTTCCCCTTCTACAACAAGAGCAAGGCCGGCTGGCAGAACTCCATTCGCCACAACCTGTCGCTCAACGACTGCTTCAAAAAGGTGCCCCGGGACGAGGACGACCCAGGTAAGGGGCCTCTGAGTGCCGGGGCAGAGGTGCCCAAGGAAGGCTCAATTTGTTCTTCCCCAAGACCCCATTCTAGAAAGTTCTGAATGGTTGTGCTCACCCCACCCCCTCCCAGTGACTGGGGGCTGCTGTGAGATAGAGCCAAGGGGAGCTGGGCAATGGGAGAAAACACGGGCCCAGGGCAGGTTTGGGGGTCAATCATGGCTGCCCTGCTGATCACTCAGGGACCTTGGCAGGCTAGATCTCTGGGCCTCAAGTTTCCTCACCTGAAAAATAGGGAGGGGTGGGAACAGCAGCTACTTTTCAGAATCTAGTGCGGAGAATGAGGTGATGTGTGTGAGGTCTTTGTTGTTAAGCACTTGACCCAGGGCTGTAACCGTTATGATTCCTCTGGGCCCACAGCACCCAGCACAGAGAAAGTGGAATGGATGATTGGACCAAACAAACCCAAGTGCACCCCAAGTCTGACTTGGCTAAGCAACCATTCCCTGCCCATTATTCTGCCTGTCATGTTTCAGTTTCCTCTGATCCCCACAAGGTCCCTTCATGGTAGTTGTGATTAACCCCAAACACTCAGCTGAGAAACCTAAGGGGCCTCTGTAAGGTGACACAGAGGGAAAGGAGAGGGGCGGGCTTGAATCTGAACTGAGGGATCTCTCACACCAGAGACCAGAGACGGGGGAACTCGCTCTTTTTTTTAAATTTCAGATTAATATAAGGGTACAAACAGTTACATTTTTGCGTGTCTGTTAGGTAAAGTCCAAGTCGCAGTTGAGACCCACACCCAGGGGGTGCGCTGTGTACCCCTGCATTGCAATTGACTCTCACTGCATAGAAGATGTCAATTTATGACACAAAATAATACAAATTCATGGGGTGGTGCCTGTGGCTCAAGGAGTAGGGTGCCAGCCCCATATGCTGGAGGTGGCAGGTTCAAACCCAGCCCTGGCCAAAAATTGAAAAAAAAAAAATACAAATTCATGAACTTTCTCCTTTTGATGTTGCAATTCTAAAACACAAGAAATCTGCAGACAGTACTGTATTAAATACTCCTCATACTTCCCTTTCCCAGAATTGAAGTCCATTTTTGTTCCACTACCAGAAGCCAGGGGATGGCTCAAAAGACCCCCAGTCTATTCCCTCTTTAAGGTTAGCAAAGGCAAGTGTCCCATCCAGGGACTGCCCTATGCTCAGGCCGAGGGCAGAGTTCAGGCTGCCCCTGGGAGGGGTCCCTGTAGTTACAAAGCCCCTTTCTACCTCTGGTGTCTGTGGTTCTCACAGGGAGCCTGAGGGAGTCGAACCGGGACAAGAAGCCCACTTTTCAGAGCAGGAAACTGAGGTTTGTCCAGTCAGTTAGGAGCACAGGCAGGGCTCAAGTCCATCTTTGGACTCTAAGGTCAGAACTTTCACAGTGTCCTGAATTGTCCCTGAGTTTTCTTTAACTTCAGCAATGGAGCCCTCCACACACAGCCTCCGTGCCCCAACACCTCAGCCTTCTTAGAGAGACACACCCTGTCACCGCTCGGTGCCCATGATGCTCATCTGTGTGGTCCCAGAGGGCCTCGAGGTGGAGCCCCCTACATAAAGATGCCCCGGTCAGTCGGCTTACGGCACCCCCCATCTCCCAGCCCAGCCTTTTGTTCTCCTCTTTCTGCTTTTGTCACCTGCATCTTCAGTTTATGACAAGGAGGGACAGGAGCAAAGCCTCCAGTCCCTCTCTCTACTGACCCCCTCCCCTTTCCTATCAGGCAAAGGGAATTACTGGACACTGGACCCCAACTGTGAGAAGATGTTCGACAACGGGAATTTCCGCAGGAAGAGGAAGAGAAAATCGGATGTTTCCTCCAGCACAGGCTCCTTGGCCTCGGAGAAGCCGGAGAACGGCCTCCTGGTGGGCAGCCCCAAGAGCACGGAGCCTCAGGATGTGCTGGACAGCGCCTCACCCGGCACCACCAGCCCCTCCGAGAAGCGGTCCCCCCCTCCACCTACGGGCACCCCATGCCTCAGCAGCTTCCTCTCCACCGTGACAGCCTTCACTGGGGGGGCAAGCTCTGCGGGCCGGCCTGTGGCCACGCCGGGACTGAACCCTGAGCCCACCGACAAGATGGGACAGAACTCACTGAGCTTCAACTCCTTCACCCCCCTCACCAACCTCGGCAGCCATGGGGGAGGGGGCGAGTGGGCCAACCCCATGCCTGCCAACGCTCTCGGCTATGGAGGCTCTGTCCTCAACCAGTTCAGCCCTCACTTCTACAACAGCATCAGCACCAACACCAACAGCGTCCTCTACCCCAGGGAGGGCACTGAGGTCTAGCTACAGAACAGCTCCAGATGGATGTCTCCGAGAGAAGAGCAGTGGACATCCTCCGTGCCAGCTCCCGGTGGTCCAAGACCCCCGAACTGCTCACACACAACTCAGGAGCCTCGGAGGAATCTATCCTCTTTCTAGAACATTGTTTAAGCCTTCTGTTTATCACACAGACTCACCAACTTTGGGAATACTGGTGTCTGGAGAGCCGCAGTAATAGTGGCCAGCAGCTGAGCACTCACTATGTGCCAGGTGCTGTACTGGGCTCTTCACAGGCATGGGCACCCTATTTACAGCCACCCTGGGAGGTTCACATGAACCTCCCCATTCAGTAGATGAGCACACTGAGCCTCAAGGAAGTTAAGTAACTTTTCAGGGTTATCCCAAGTAGTAAATGGCAGAGATGGGAGTCAAATCCAGGTCTGTGTTACCCCTAGTGATTGGGCAAATAAAGGCGGACAGGGGTGGAGGAATTTGCTGAGCATCTAGGGGAGGTCAGCGTGAAAAGTTCAAATGACAAATACATCAAAATCTCCCCAAAATGCAGCACCAGCCCAGGCACCTCTTGTCCTGGTCCAAGTCCTTACTCTGCCTGCCCCAACGCACCTGCAGGTGCTCCGTTAGCTCCCACTCCGGGAGGGAAGCCAGCAGAGGGCTTAATTCCAACAAGGCATCTGGCATACACACTGTGTCCCCCTAGAGGGACGTCGTTTCTTCCTCAGCCCCTGGGAGACCTTAGGCAGAGCCAGGGGTCAGTGAGTGGTGTGCACCCCTAACCTCCCCACCTCTGCACTGCCCATCTGTAAAATCTCGTAAAGCCCAGTTTCCTATGTACACGTCATGGACCCGTGAGCTGGAAGTGGCTGAGCCTTCCAAGGGAAACAAGGCTGGATAAGTGCTCCCTTTTTTATAGCCTGGGAGGGATACATGTTTGTCTGTAAAAACAGTGGCCTCCATGGAGGGCCCTCAGCCAGGGCCAGCCCACCCTTGTAGGGGGTCTCTGCATCCAGCTCCAGGACTTCTTTTCCTTCTTGTTTTTGTATGTTCTTTATATGCCTGTGATATTTCATCACAGCACACCCTGACATGTTTTTCTTATTTTCTTTTTAATTAAAAAAACAAAAAACACTTTGCACAGAAGTGCATGGCCCTTCTTTGTGAATTTTCCTGCCTCTCAGCTGCCTGATGGATTCAACATGGGTCCACGTGCTGCCTGGAGCTGAAGGCATCTGGGTGGAGCTGAAGGCATCTGGGATAGGAGCAAAGAGAGCACGGAGACCAGACAAAAGCCCCCAGGGAGAAGAGGGGAGGCTGTGGAGGTGGGGTAGATACATGAACCCATGTGTATTGAACACAGACTCGAACTTGGCATACCCAGTCGATGCAAAACTCCTAACTGTGCTGTGATCATTTAATCTCCTAAAAACCCTGTGAAGAGGGCAGTACTAGTCTTATCATGTGGATGAGGAAACTGAGGGTCAGCCTAGTTGAGAGATTTGCCTGACGTCCGCATTAGGAGCATGCCCAGGTCTGTGTGACCCCAGTTGTCATCATGACCCCATTGTCACCACACTACAGCATGAGGTCAGGCATGACTCACGCTAGTAGCAGTGCTACAGGCTAGGATTTTCTGAGGGCTGTGGGCAGGTGCTGGGCCAAGTGCCCTGTAGGAAGGGCTTCTTTTATCCTCACAGCAGCACACAGCTGTGTCCACTGGTGATTCACAGGGGTCCTTGGCACAGTGCGTGCTGGAGGACTTGTGCACTGAAACAGGAGGCCCCACCCCAGGTATGCACAAAGAGGGCTCAAGCCAGGGGTGGCTGACCACCAGCGTGGCTGCCCACTCAGACCATGGGGGGCTCTTTTTTTTTAAGGAATGACAGAGGGAAGCTGGTAACTAACAACAATGATGGTGATGATGATGATGATGACATTCATGGATTCACTATGTTCCAGGCACTACGTTAGAACTTGACCTACTTTATTGCATTTAATCCTTAGAATAATCACATGCAATCAATACCATCATTTCCATTTTAGAGGTGAGAAAACTGAGGCCTGGAGAGATTCTATAGCTTGATCAAGAGCACATAACCAGGATTCAGACAGACCCATTAACACCATGGCTGCACCTCGTCTCCACAGCACCTAGTGACAGGGAGCCTGGGAGAGAAGGGTCATGGAAACCAAGAAGATGAAAAATAGGGGCTGCTCAGAACCCCTCAGAGCCTTGCCTGGGAAAGCCCTGTCCATAGTGAGACTTCTAGCAGCTTCCGCTGGGGCTGAGGGAGGGGAGTAAAGAAGGGACGTGGTGTCAGACCATAAAAACCCTTAGAAATCCCGGAATAGGTGGACGCCTCGCTACACAGAAAGGAAGCCTGAGGCTTGGGGAGCAAGGAACTCCATAAATGTCACCAGGGCGATGGGTCAGACGCAGAGGGAAAAGGCAAGTCCCTGAAGCCTTGACCAGGACTTTTGTCCTTGAAAACCCCCTTCACTGGTCACCTCACTGCCTGCCCTTCAACCTCCCTCCTTGATCCCAGGCAGGCCTACAAAGGGCAAGGGGCTGGGCCAGGACCTCTCCAAGGCAGCTCAGAGGGGAGCTGGCCTGTTAGACACAAGGCCTACAACCCCAAGACTCCATCCTTCTTTGGCCCAGATTGAATGGGCACAGGCAGAAAAGGGAAAGTGTTTGAGGCTCCGGCAACACAGAGACCCTGCCGACTCTGCCTGTGGCCCTGCAGGGTGTTCCTGGCGGCAGCGCCAGGAGCTCATGGGAAGCACCAAGTGGAGAGCACCCCAGTGGGCAGCTGAAGGAGGGGACCTCCCTGGCAGTGCCCACAGGCTGTTTTTTGCCCTTCTTTTGGTTCTGTTCCCCTGAGAAGCCATGAGAGCTGGAGAGAGGGAGGGAAGGAAGAAAAGGAGGGAGGGAAGAAGGAAAACCCAGGGCTATGTGGGAGCACCAATCCCAGGGGAAGGGCCACAGAGGGACACTGCCTGGCTAGCCGACTCCCCTTCCTCTGTGTTGAGGCCACAGCCCCCAGATCAGAGAAGGGTCTGAGGAAAGGACTTTTGCTGGAGAGACTAGCAAGGCTGCCTGAGGGGGTGAGACAGGATCAAGGAAAGGGAGAAGCCAACTAATGGGGACCACTGGTTTACACCTCCACCCTCGAGCCACCTAACTCCAATCCCTTCACAAACCCTAAGTCAGAGTGTCTGAATTTTCAAGTCACAGTGGAAATGTGGGGGGAAGTATGCCCCCAAGCGGACTATATATGTATAACGTATATAATATATCATAATCGCATTTATTTTAATAGAGAACACTGCCGGGGGAAAGTCAGGAAGTGCTGTACATAAAATATTCACAGTCATTGTCCAGCAGGTGATGAAATATTAGGTGATGTTTTTTGTCACTGTGTTTATCTCTGTGCTATGTGCCCTGATGGGTTGGCACCAAGGAGGCACCTGTCACAGGTGAGGGGTCAGGGAAGATGCCCTGCAGTCAATGACACCCGAGCCGGGTCTGTGAGGACCAGCAGGAGTTCTCCTCAGGAAAGAAGATGGAGCAAGTGTGGCTGGCAGAGGCGGAGTGTGCGAGGCTGGGAGATGAGACAGGGAACCAAGGGATTCAAGGTGGCCGGAGTTTAAGAAATGAAAGAACCAGAACAGCAAACACAGGCGGGACCACCAGGGCCATGAGCCCTGGCTACAGTGTCTATCTTTCCTCCCCAAGGCGTCAGGGAGTCTTGCAGAGGTTGCTAGCAGGGGAGTGACGAGCCCGGGTGACACTGAAAGGCTGGTACCTTACCTCTCCTGCCTTGGGTGAAATCTGACTTCCTAGGACCTAGCTCAGAAGGAAGCCCCTTCTTTCCATGCCAACTGAGGCAGGAACTCTAAAAGAATGATTTACAAAGTCGACTACATTCAAATGAGACGTTTCTGTATAAGCCTCCTTCGACAGAGTAGGAGAGCAAACACGAAGGGAGAGGGACATCACAGCACACATCAAAAATGTAATCATCATATTACAGGAAATCTCTACCTATCAGGACGTTCCCAGAACAAATCTAGGTCCACCAAAGAAGAAATGCAACTAGAAAATAAACGCACGAACAGATGCCCAGTCTCACGGATGATCGAGGAAACGCAGAACAGCACCGCCAGGTACATCCTTTGCACCTACACCTTAGCGATGCCTGGAGCTGTCAAGGAGAGGAGGAAATAGGGGCCTTGTCTCATCTATTCCTGGATGAAGGTGGGAAAAAAAATCAAGGTGAAACGATCTTTCTTATGGGCATTTTCAGTGGTGAATATGCAAACGTCTAATGGGCATTTCTTTTGACTTAGGACTGTCTCCTAGAAATTTATCTTTGAGGCTGAGTATTCAAAACGATTAACGCGTAAGAATGTGCCTCCCCAAGATGTTTACGTTAGTGCGAGGTTTATACTAGTGAAATGGTGGGATAACGTAGCATGTCTATCAACAGAAAAATGGAATAAACAAACCCCGGCATGTGCTCACGATGGAAGACCATGCAGCTGTCAAGAACGAAGGATTTGACGGCACCTGTGGCTCAAGGAGTAGGGGGCCAGCCCCATATACTGGAGGTGGTGGGTTCAAACCCAGCTCCGGCCAAAAACTGAAAAAAAAAAAAGGACGAAGGATTTGGCAGATCTAACTGAAAAGGTATCAGTGAGATACCAAACAGGGGGAGGGCAGGGAGCAAGTTATCAAACAGGATATCAAATATCCTATTTATGCAAATATACACCATGTGTTCTTTACTGTATGGAGGGGGAGTTAGGACACAGATGATTCTACGCGGGAGAGAAAGTACTGGCACAGAGAGGTGATATTGGACAGACTTAGGGTCAACAGGCCAAGAGGCAGCTCTTAAATTCGGTTCTTCTCTGCTTAGGTCCCAGAAGCCAGACTTGGGAAGAAAGGACATGGCAGAAAAAGAGATATCACGTATTTTGGAGGGTGAGTCTCCCTATCCCAA